CCCATCTGAAGGTTTTCTGTACTGTCAGCACAATATAGTTGGAATTCAAATCCAGAATATTTATAGCAGTATGGATAAGAGTGGGTTACAATAAAACTTTAAAAGAAAATCCCACAAAAAGACTTTTTTTTTTTTAAGTGCTTGTCATATTTTGGAACTTTTGAGAGATTGCTAGTTTGTGATATTCTTCCAGACTTGTTTATGGCACTAATAGTTGCTATTCCTAGTAACATTCATAACTGAATGGAAAAATATTCTGAGTTGCAAGTATTTATCATTTCAAAACTCAAATCAATCTGTCACTGGTAGTTAAATGGAAAATTACTGTATTTGTGAATCTTACAGAAGAATCCTGTCCTTACTTGTAGGATAACTATTGAAAACACTCTTAGAGCTGGGAAGTCAAGCTGAAACACAAAACACTTTCTCTGTTGTTCCTTCCCCATAAACTTGTGAGCAGAGATATTTTTTAGGTGATAGGACACTGTAAAAATTTAGATTGTTGTTAAATGAAGATTCTTTTTTTTCTTCCCCTTGCTTCTTTCATAACAAAGATAGTATTTTGTCCTGTCACCTTGTTAAAAGTGAGTAGTAAGAAATACAGTATTGTCTTATTTTTCATATTGAAGCACTGACAAAAGAAAAATAGCACAAAAAACAAGAAAATGAAATAAGATTGCAATTACACTTGAGTCAAGAAAACATACTTCTGTTTCTTTGCAAGTAACTCCATTAATAATTGTGATTCATTATTACAGATAAAGTTAACTTTTTTCTTTGCTATTGTCTTCCCGTACTGTTTAGATGAAAAACACTATGAAAACTATGTATAATCTTTCAACTATGTGAATGCATGTGCAAACTTTATGACTTTGAAATCAAATAAATCAGTATTTAGGAAACTCAGAACAAAAGACTGAAGTCATTTGTGGTGACTTGCATTAAGCAATTTGCAATGTGCTTAGCATTGTTTATCTAAGCTAATCATGGAAGATTAACCTTTAAAAATTTGTACTGCAAAGTATGTTGATCCCATTCTTCATTCTTAATGCTTTTAGCTCTATAAACAATATTTGACATTTACCAATAGTAATGTCATGGACAAATGTTCCCTCATCCTGCAGATAACAAAGGTTTGAATTGTTTTCCTTTTTTCGAGGAAGGAGTTGAAGATTGGTAGCAGTGCAGTCTTTTTTTTCTTTAATGGTGAATTAAATCATGACATGACTGTAGACATCATTGGAAATTAAACTCTTAACACTGAAAAACATTAGGCAAGCATTCAGATTGTTGCAGTGGCCACTGTTTTCTCATTTTATTTGAACAAAGCAAAAATACTCTAAAGAATGAATATGAGAAAAAATGGTTCTAGGGTGTGTTCTGATTCTAAGTCATAAGGGCACTGAATTATGTGCATAAGGATGAATCTCCAAGCAGTCCTATTGCTTTTGCTGTGATGCCACATATGTTTATAACTACTTCTGATCTTTGCCTTCAGGAAGTGCTGTAATATAAGTAATGAATATTGAGAATAAAAAAGAAATAACAATAATTCATGATAGAGTCAGTGTTTATCATTCCAATTTTCTAGTACCTTTTTTAACAGGAGTTCTGAGGAACAAACAGTCAATCTTAAATCACTCTGTCAAGCTTTTTTTAATCTTTAGTCTGAGCACCCCTCCTGCTCAATAAATTTCTTCGAAGAATCCACAAAAGGCAATTAAGAAAAGAAAGTTCAAACATGTTATGCAGCAACTTCCATGCATGAAGTTCCAGAGATTAAAAGAATATTGGTAACCATTGAAAAGAGAATTTATGAGACAGACTCTGTAGCAGTGCTAGTCCTTGATAGTAGTACAAAAGTGCTACAGATCTTTATTTCATATAATGCAAAAAGATGGAATTGGAATATGTTCCTTTTAGCTTCACAAAACATAATATCTCAATGTGTGTGAATTGTATTTAGATGGCATATAACTTGAAATGCAGAAGCGTTTCATACTCACCCATGTTTACTCTTTTATTAAAACCAGAAACTGTTATAACAATCTGAAGAGAGCCACATATGCAATGACACTTTGGGGACACGAAGTGAGAATCATGAGTCATGTAAATTGCCATCTGAAACTAGACTACTTTTGTAGAAAGATTAAGGACATTGGGTTTTGACATGTAAGTTGCCCTTTTAGATAGCTATCTCAGAAGAGCTTTCAATGATATAAATAAGCCTTTTTTTTTTTTTTTTTTTTTTTTTACTGTTACTGTTAAATCCAAAGTAGAAGTGGTCCAGGGAAGAAAATCGCAGTATTTTGACACATATACTAAATATTATTCATAACTAAATTCTTCAGAAATAGGAGGCTACTGCAGCTTAACTTGCCAGTTTCAGAATTTCTTGGTGCTTCAGGCAGATTCCCGATTTGAAAAATATCTGTTAAATGCAACACAGAATTTAGAAATTTAATAACTGCTCCTGTTAGGAGTAGTTGCATCCTGCTGATGCATCCTGCTGTTGCATCCACACAGATTGGCAGAAACTGTAAAACTAGGCTCCAGGTCTGCAACCAGAAGGGTTGGACCAACCTCATCTAAGAATGTAGGTTTATTATCGTGTGGAGACAGGTAGGAGGTATCCCCTTAGCATCTCATGCAAGATTTAAAGGATTTTAAAAAGTCCAACAGATTACTTCCATCCATTTTCTTCTGACTGTTGAAGAACAATGGCAGATATAAATACATCACTTGCCATGCTAATGTCTTCTGAGTTGTTGTATCACACTCGTCAGAGTGGTCTAAAATTCTACTTTTAATTTCATCTGGTCCTTTAGTCTTACTTCCTACTCCATGGTGATTTATACCTAAGCAGCTAACAGCATAAAACAAAACACAGTATCAGTTTAAAACAGTAAATAGAGGCTAACTTTAACGATGTGAGATTAAACTGCTTCTGAAAAATGCTGCATGTCACTGCAGGTTGTCTATAAACTATGTGCATACACAGAATATTAATTTAAGATATATGTATACAATAAACATATGAAACATGCGTGATGTTAAGCATTTGGTTCTGGTTAAGACCAAAGAAACTGAGGTTTCTGAACCCGACACAGGAGATTTTCACAACATCCAGTCATAGATATTTATTTCAGGGGGAAAATGTAGCCTTTCTTCCAGAGCTCTGAAAGTTTGGTTCCACAGGTGTGTTCAGAAAATGAGGCTTCAAAAAGCTCTGGCTTTTTTTTCATTTACTTCCTCTTGGGTCCACAATACTGGTTTTGATTCAGAATGGTTTAACAAGGCTGTTTCTATTTTCTTTGTCAGTAGTCTGATAAACCATTATTATTATGAAGCAAAACATTCCAATGAACAATGTTTCTAGTAGGTCATTAATTTTATGTTGAAACAAAAGAACTTCTTCCCTATTTCTGCTGACAGTTATTCCTGATTTTGTATTAGACCAAACTTCTACCATCTTTATTACTGCTTAAACTTTTCTGAAACCAAAGAAAGACTATTTCTAGTCAAGCTTATAGTACAGAATAAATGGGAAATAAAATCTGCATAAATATGTTATCCTCTTCCAAAGCGTTAATGTGTTATGCTTTGATTCATTGATACTATTTGTTCTTTCTCCTTTGCAATTAATGGGAGAAGACTTCAGACTTACAGCCATTTTGAAATAAAATGTTGGCTCATAGGCCATGGACTGGTGAGATATTAAACATACTTCCTTCTACATTACTTACAAAATGAGGAGAAATCACACAGCTGACCACGCTGCAGCTACTTAATGCTTCTGTAAATAGATCATAATAAGCATGTTATACATGATTGTCTGAGCTGATAAATGAAAGGGTGTGGATTGTTCAGCATCAGTGGAAGGAGGGGAACATGAAAAAAACCTTCCTGATTGAGCTGCAAATGGTAGTAATTTTTCCTTCCTGCATTAATGAATATAATTCATGTAATGCATAATACTTCTTTCAACAGCAAAATTTTCACATCCAGTTCACAGACATAAAGTATTTTAATTAAGAATATAAATGAGTAATGACAATCCACTTCCAGAAAAAGCAAAGAAAGACGTTTCTTTGGCCATGTAGAAAGAGCTGTGACGTAAATATAGTTTATCAGTGTAACAAATTCACTTTCCTAGAACTCTTTACCAGAAAAATATCCTTTAAGCCATGTTCTTATTTATTTGTCTGTTTTCCCCTTGTAACCTTCCTTTACATGCAGTATTTGACTGCAAATCTGCATTTTACAGTCTCTAGTGATCAAATCACTTCATATTCCATAAACATCACAAATTAAAAGAGCTTTCATCTTTTAAATTCCAACACAACATACACAAAACTAAAATAATTCATTGTCTAGAGACCATAACAAATTTTAATGTGCATTTACAGAGTAAACAGAGGGCTGAAAGGGGCCAATCCAGTGGAAGTGAAGATATGTATTACAAAATCCACACAGTACTGAATTACAAACTAAAAAGTGATGTTTTGTCAAAAAAGAAAATAAAGATGCCTATTGGTGGAATGACATACAGATAATATTAAAAACTGGCTTGCATGAGGACCAAAGTATGTCTACTCTGAAGTTATATCACACAGACTGTAAGCAATTTACAGAATTTAAGTTAGTTTTGCATATACAGGAGTTGCAAAATTAGAGAAAACACACTGAAATATAGAACGCACACCAAAAAAAAAAAGAAGATGCATATATATAAACCTCCACGCAATCATCAGGGGTTGGCCTAAGTCAATAATTGCCACTATTGAACAAGAAACAAACAAACAAAAAAAAAAAGACAGGAAAAAACCTCACAGGGTAAAAATAAAAATAATAATTACAGGAAAAAAAAATCTAAAGAAAAATAGCCTCTTTTCTTTTCCAGAAACAACATCCTCTAGTCTGCTTAGCTGCTTTGTAGATTTTCTTTTCTCCTCCCTATTCCTCATGGAAAAAAAAAAAAACCAAAAACAAAAAGGCTTTTTGATAAAGTTTGTGGGGTGTTTTATTGGGGTCAATTTTATATCACAATGTTTTGTTTCATTATTTGGCCTCTGTTTGCTTCCAGGCTGGAACGGTTCTTTCAGTGTAGGAAACCAAATGTCATCCATGGTTAATTCTGCAATACTGATGACTCACAGGCCAACCCCTGAGAAGTCAGGGATGAGGCTTTTCCTTGCCGAAAGAAAAGGAAACTAAGTCTTGCTGTTACAAAACGCTTGATTACATCACACCAGTTCTCTTCAAATGAAAAATCAGTGATACGCCAAAGAAAATAAGATATATCAAGAAAACATGGTATCCTCTTCTTTTTATAATATTTATTTATTTATTTATTTATTTAGTAATTTTGTTTGTACTTCCTGAAGAAGGTGCTCCTTGTGTAGAGATTTAGAGTACATTGGGTGCAGAGTGGTGGTTGGAGGTTAGGGTCAACTTTGCTGTCCGCTCCGTGGATTTTACAGGCGATTTGCTCTTTGCTTTAAGAAGAGAAAGTGATATTGGAAAAAGTCAGCACTTTTAGATTAAAGCAAAGCACCCTTCACAAAGCCACAAACAAGAAGCAGGACAGAAAGTCCATGGCTTGTAGCTATCCTCGCACCTGCGGAAGAAGTTATAAGATATTCGCTCATCTTGCAGATTTCCAATGCTCCTTATAAGGCTGTTTTAAACACATACATTTATATATTTAATTAGCTCGCCAGGTTGGCTCTGGTGCCCATGAATGTCTTGGCATGCACTGCAAATAACAACACATACAAAGTATTTCAGTCCCAGGGAGGGGTTTTTTTTGTTTTGTTTTGCTTTTGTTTGTCTGTCTTTTAAAACATTATCCAGAAAAACCATATAGACCAAGAGGAACAAATCCAAATGCCTTCCATCTCAGAGTGTTCTTTACAAAACCATTTCCAGCATCACATCAACTAACAAAAAAGTCATCTACTGGCTAAAGTGTTTTCATGTAAAACAGAGGAGATACTGGCAAATGGCTGTGTTACAAGGGGGAAACATTGCTAAAAAGTTTGGAGTATTTATTGTTGAGAAATTATGCTTTCATAGATACTTTTTTCTTTTTAAAAAGCTATGAAAACAATGGTACATATCATCATTTCTAAACCCATGACTTTAAGTATGTTGTCGAAATGAAAACGTTCAGAACTAGACTAATTAAACTCAAATGTTGGTGCATCAAGGCCATGACTATCTAGCTGTCTTACATACCAAGTCTAAGCACTTGATAACTCCCTATATCATAAAGAATTGCATTCAGAATTTGAACATATTGCTTGAGGTGGAAACCATAAATTTAATTTGGTTACAGTACGAATAAAAGTTCAAATTATAACAGGTTAATGCATGATTAATAGATTTTATAGCTGTGTTATATACTTGAAAAGGATGAATGATATTGATGGTACAGGCATCAATTCTATAACAAAGTAATAATGGTGTTACACGCAGTCCATAATAATGCTGGACCTTTAACAACTGGGTATGTTTTAAAAACCTATTAAACATGTATAAGCTGTTTTTGTAAAGAATTTAATATTAAACTAAAATGCTGTATTTCATTGCAACCCAAATAAGCACACGTATCTTCTCATTAAGAATATACACAATGAAAACAAAAAGAACTCAATGCAAATGCTCATTTTTTTCAAGTTTTCAGATGTTTATCAGTAAAACATTTCTCTGTATCTGCTATGTTTATAAGTGTAGCAAGAAGTATTTCTGTTCCTGTCTTTCGTAATTTTTTCCCTTCAAAAATGGGGATTAAGCTAAATCCCAGATCTCTGAACACTGCTTCCTTTTGCAAATACATGGTGTGAGACATTGCATACATAGTAGTTGCCATAAAAGACTCTTAGTCTTCTGCCACATACACAAGAGCTTCTAAGTAACAGTGATATTTCAATTATCCATGTGTGAACTGAATTTCTAAATGAATATTAACATTTAAATGGAAACATGTCTCAAAGACATTGCTAAGACTTTCAAATAAGTCCAAGGGAACTGTGAACTTAGTTCCTACTGAACGTAGGCAGGAGTGGGAAGCCTACTTTTCTCTTGCCCATCTGACAATGCTACCTGTCCTACACTGTAGTAGTTTGCTGGGCTCCTAAAAACACTTGTTCTGCATAAGGACAAGCAAACACATAAGCAAATTTGTTGTAACTTCTTACTGTGGGCTATTCTTATACAGAGAGTGTTTATAATCTTGCCCCAAGGGTTGAGTTCAGTTTCTGGGTTTGATTTTACTGCAGCATAGTTTTGTTCTTGTTTTATGCAAGATGTAAAATTTGTCATTTGGCATATTTTTAAAAAGGCTTTTCTTTCTCTAACAAAGTTAGCAGAATTTACTTAGAACCCTTGTTAGTGTTAGATCATTTAATGATGTATTGAATTATTTTCACTTGGTTTACTCCATTTAAATACTTTTTTTTTGATTGAACTGGAGAAATACACTGCTCAAGACAATTCCAAAGAGATCTTTGGAGATACATTTCCTCTGCTCAAAATATGCGCAATGCAAACAAGCATAAACACTCAGTAGAGTCTCATGGTTATTTTTGTAAGAGTTTTTTAACTGTTAATGGCATTATAATTTGAGAATTTCAAAGCTGTAATGTGTAGAAGAGAAACAGTATGATGCAAAATAGGTTTGACAAACTATTTTGCAGTGGGAAAAGCAGCACCGTAATATTTGCAGGCAAAGCATTCTCTGATATTGATTTTGGTTTGCCCTTTTTTTTTTTTTAATATGTCAATCTGTGGATTTCCAAATTAGGGGTCATATATTACATAAACATGAAACCTTTTTATTTATAATGTTCAGGTCCTGCATAAATCATGACTTTCCTCCAATTCATGGCACATATTATAAATGCGTGTTCTACAGCGACATATACGTTGAAGTGCACTCTCATCTTTTGAGTGATTCATTATGAAACAAAGTTGAAATTTAAATATATTTAGGTTTCTTTTTTTCTGGAGATATGTAAAAGAATTGTATTTTTTCTTTCATGAATCCAAGTATTTTTTCAGATTTTGTAAGGGTGAAAGTTGCAAATGAAGAGTAATAACATAACAAAGCAAAACCCAAGCCTTTTTAGGTATTTTTTCCTTTTTCTATTCTGTTATATTTTCTCATACTCTATTATTTTGATTTTCATCTTGATAAAGGATAAGCGACCAGAAACAGGCAGAAATTTCCATTTTGATTGTGAATCTAAAAGTTATAGGGTGTTTAAATCAAAGATTTTAGACTTAAGTATGAAGCAAAGTACACATCAGAATCCAAATATCTCTGAAACTCAGAATATCCACGTTCAGACATTTCATGCATATGTGGTTTTGGTGTACATTTTTGACCAGAACTTAAATAGTACCACTGTAACAGTGAGCACAGTAATATAAGAAAAAACCTGTTGATCTGGCAGTAGATTTGCTAAATCAATTACTCATTTCCCCACCATTTCTAACATTATTTTCTAATTAACGTAATGAGAGCTAAAAGACATTTTACTGCAGGTCAGCTACACTGGATTAAATTATGTTACCCTCAGAGACAGTAACCTGGACAAACAACGGTAATAGGTATACATATATTATTTTTATATATGGGTCAGGGATTTTCATGTTTTGACCTGTCAGCACTGGCATCCAGTTAATTTTTTCCTGTGAGATACAAATGCCCATGTGCTGTCTTTTGTTTTCTGCCACTGACACATGCAAAAGAAATGTTCATGAAATACTTAACCTTCTCCTGTAAACAATTTCTGTGTTGCCAAACAGATGTGATCATGAGATAAATTTTGTACAACAGCATGAAAGGGTAGTTAATGACATTAAACTCTTTGAAACTATGATTTATTCAAATACATGATTTACTTAAATGCTAGGAAAACAGACATAAAACAATAGTGATAAATAATTGTGATCTCAGTGTTTAAGATGATCATAGAATCACAGAATGGTTTGGGTTGGAAGAGACCTTAAAGATCATCTAGTTCCAATCCACCTGACATGCGCAGGGACACCTTCCTCTAGAGCAGGTTGCTCCAAGCCCCATCCAACCTGGCTTTAAACACTGACAGTGATGGGGCAGCCACAGCTTCTCTCGTCAACCTGTGCCAGTGCCTCACCACCCTCATAGTGAAGATATTTTTCCTAATATCTAATCTAAATCTCCCCTCTTTCAGTTTAAAGTCATTTCTCCTTGTCCTGTCACTACGCGTACTTGTAGAAAGTCCCTCTCCAGATTTCTTGTAGGCCCTGTTTAGGTATTGGAAGACTGTCATAATGTCATATTTCATGGCTCATAGTGTCTGCACCAAATAACTAAACATCAGTTTTGCTCTGTTAATGAGATTAATTTTAGAGCATCTAAGTATGAAATAAAGTAAGCAGAAGTTATAAATTATTAGCAAACCACAACTAATAAAAAAGTAGCTACTCTTTGCATGTCTGAATGACTATAATCCCTTGCTTTCACTAAGATGCTCATCAGACAAAATTTGTGTAAAAATACATGGGCTCTTGGGATGCAAGCAGTGAAAAGTAAATGTTAGTTTCATAATTTTGCCCATTTATTTTTCAGAGATGGAAAAAAGTGATTTTTAAACTAAACAGCTGCATCAGACCTTACAGTTTTAGCATCCCCTATTTGTAAGAGTACCTTACACGGTTAACCACCTTGGGTCTCAAGCAGTTTGCATCTGCAACAGCTGAAGTTTAGCAAGTTTGGTATTCCTTGTGCTTGCTAAGGTTTGGGAGATCTCTGAGATGTAATAGCCTCCTGCACTCTGAGCCTCAATACTTATCTGAAAACTGCATTGATTCTTATAGTTATGCTTACAATGAATAGTGTATAATCATATAAATAATGTAACAAATACGTGAATCCAACAGCACCGCTTTAATATATTACTAAACATTTAAGTTTAGTGAGGGTATCCATGAGTTTCCTTTAATTAGTAAGCCTCTGATCACAAGGGAAGACTAATGCCTAGTAGAGTCCTGGTTTTATGCTGATCAGTATAGCAGAAATACAGCCAGTCACACCAAAGTCTATCCTATATTCTCCGTATGTACCACATGATGTCAAAATATCCCTACATATATATGGGGGATACATATTCAGCTTGTGCTTTCTAAAATCACAGGTGTGTCAAAACCTCGGAAATTTTATTTTTCAGGAATTTGTGCTGATATTTTCCGTCTTTAATACCTGGTTTGTTATTTTGCAACACTTGGCTTAGCTTTTAGTGTTAGATTTGAACTAGCCTCCTTGTCAGTCACAGCAGAAATCACATGAAATCATAATTTTGCATTATTTCCATGTAAAGTAAGTTAAAGTTCGTTAAATACCTGCCTTAATTTTACTGGGGATATTAATGAACCATAAGATTTATTGGAAGACATTTGCAGTTTTACATCCATAAAGATAGATGAAACCAAGTATGGTTGATTTTATTTAAAGTTTGATTTGAATATGTCTTACACAGGTCTTAAATAAATAGATTTTTCCTCTCTGGCCTACCAAATGCTATCATTTTTATTCCTCTGAATTCAGAAATCAGTGTTTCCTACAGTTCTCCT